CTGCTGGGTAAAGCCACGAGGAACCCCAGAACGGGCTCCCACAATCTAGTTACAAGAATCATGAGGAGAATTTCTTAAGAATGTCAAACCTGTGCCCTAAAAAGTTCTGATGAAGCTGGGTGGTGGTGGAGCCTGCTTTTAATCCCAGCACTCAGGAGGCAGAGCCAGGCAGATCTCTGTGAGTCCGAGGCCAGCCTGGGCTACAAAGTGAGTTCCAGGGCAGCCAGGGCTGTAGGGAGAAACTCTGTCTCCAAAAACAACAACAAAAGTTCCAATGGAATAGGATAGGGTATATATACCAAGGTTCCATTTTTTATTTTTTGACTTATCATACAATTCTGCATATATAGCAAAGGTTGAGGACTGCCAAGGCACGTTGGCATTGTTCGGGTTAAATTGTCTTTCCTTAGTGTGGACATAGGCTTTCTTTGTTCATCTCTGTTCTCAATACCACTCTGCCTAGAAGGTTGGCAAAGTGAACAGCCCATATATTTTAATGAGCAACATCAAGTGCTATTAACAGTCACGTCTGGAGGTTAGCGAGAGTTGTTGCTATTAATAATCATACTGGTCATGGCAATAAATCACAGGGTGAGTAGTAAGGATTATCTGAATATTTAAAGGATGGCAAATAAAGTCCCTAGTCTTAGCCATGGCTTCCATCTGGAGAACACAGAAGAATTCCTTAGGTGAGGGGGCAAAAAGCCTGCTCTTAAGTTCTTTTGTAATTTTATTGTTATTGTTGTTGTTGTTTTGAGACAGGGTTTCTCTGTGTAGCTTTGCCTGTCCTGGAACTTGCTTTGTAGACCAGGCTGGCCTTGAACTCACAGAGATCCACCTGCCTCTGCCTCCTGAGTGCTGGGACTAAAGGTGTGCGCCACCACCGCCCAGCAAGTTATTAATGTCATATTAGATTTCCACTGGAACTTAAAAATAAGGCTAGGCCTGGGGCATCCCTGTGTGAGAGAGTCAGCAGTGCAGACTCCAGGACTGTGTGACGTAAACCCGGAGAGGTGGAAGACTCTTCCGTCAGCTGCTGTGTGACACTCTTGTCCCTGGAGGTGTGGTAGAGCAGCTGCAGGCAGCAGTCTTCACCCATTCTGAGTGTGCATACTGTCCCTGAGCAAGTTCTGTATTTCTAGCTGGGGAAATGGCTGGGGGGGGGGGGGGGGGGGGGGGGGGGGGGGTTAAAGCACTTGCCACCCAGCAAGGGGGCAAGAGTTGGATCCCTGTGTATGCTGGGTCATCGTGGCAGCTCACCTGTATTTCTAGCATCAGAACAAACTGTCCAACAACTATACTGGCTACACTGGTGAGCTCCATTTGACTGAAAGACCCTGCCTCAAAGAGTAAGGTGAAATAATGGTTAAGGAAAATTCACATCAGTCCCTGGCCTACACACACGCACACACACACACACACACGCACACGCATATGTACATACACATGGGAAGAAGAAACAGATACCCCTTGTTCTGTCTGTCCATCTGTCAGAACTTCCCATGCCATCCTTTAAGGTATGTTCTCTCCTCATTTCCACCCATGAAGTCCAACAGTAGGGCTCTGCATTTGTATGTCCCTCTGCTTCTGAAGAACTCCGTTAGAACCTTACTATGTTTCACTTGGCCCCAGGGTGATCTCAATCCTTTCTGTGGAGTCCTTCCTACCCCAGTGGTGGAGATAATTAGTCAGCAGTGAGGGGCAGGGGGTATCTTAGTAAGCCCTTGGTTTCAGTTATCCCACATCTGTGAAGGATTTTAAGTGATCTGACCTCATAGACTGTCTTCCCAGCTCTGATAACCTAATGCAGTCATACGAAATTCACAAGGCATCCATCCCATGCAGACCTCCGTTAGCCCCTGAGCGCACACACTGATTAGGAGACCAGACCATTGGCATGTGTGGTGGCACCTGGAGAACAAACTGATGTATGCACGGGGGCTAAGAGCAGGAAAGGTTTTCTAGGGATGGACTTTTGAGAGGTGGGCAGGCATTGTTGGGCAGGCCTCTGAAATGGCTCCAGCAGGGAAGGCGTGCTGAGGAAAGAGCGATGTGATGCTCAAAAACTGTCTGGGGAAACTATAGCCACACGAGAGGGATGCCTGGGGCAGAAGCCTAAGAGTCATGACAACGGGGCATGCTAGCACCCACCTCCAACCCCAGCACTCCGGAGGCAGAGGCTGGCAGATCTCTGGGTTCGAGGCCAGCCTGGTCTACAGAGTGAGTTCCAGGACAGGCAGGGTTACACAGTGAGACCGTGTCTCAAAAACAACAACCAAATGAGTCATGTGCACCCAAGTGACAACAGGAGGGACTGAGTCTCCAACTCTCCCCCAGTACCTCACTGTCTGCCAAGTCCTCACTCATCTTCCTCACGACCACCCTGCCCTAGGTTTGAAAAGAATGTTTGAAAAATAAACCTGATCCACTCTAAATAGCGAAATTTGTTGAAATAACACAGAGGTTATGAAACTCATTGACAAAGCCAGGAAGATCAAAGACTGACGCTCTTGTTGCATCGAGTCCTGCTGCTGCTGGCGTGGGCTACGCCTGTGGCATGGTGCTTGTTACTCAGGGCTCCAGGGACATGTGCGCTGACAAGCTTCTTTCTTCTTCAGGAAAAACAACGTGTATCTCTAAAACTGCTTTTTAAAATCGAGAACAGCAATTACTATTAATGACTATTTCTTACATCTTCTCAATGGCAGATCTTGAGAGTAGCTGGAAGCCTTCTGCAAGGGGCAACTTTATCCACTTCAAGAAAGGTGGTTGGAGGTGTTGAAAAGGTTGGAGGACCATGTAGTGAGGTTACTTTAGTGGGGTCCTTAACCTCTGGACGCACTCAGCTCAGGAATCTCAGGAATCTTGGAAGCTCGATTCTAATCCTAACTGTAGAATGCGTGGCACACAGGAGCTGCCTGTTGCTCAGGTGAAAGGATTGTTTTGTGTAGCTGGAGACCAACCAGCTGTTCCATATGGAACATGCGGCAACTTACCTAGTCCCTGAACATGAGGCCTGTGCTTTCTTTCCTAAACTCCAGGGCAAGGAAAGAGGGGAGAAAGCCCAATTTGGGAGATTCACCAACCAGCAAGGCAGGCCCAAAGGTGTGGCCAGTTGGGACCATGCATGGTATCCATGGGGACAGAAGAGTTTCATTATCTCTGCAAATGGCAGGTAGGACACAGGGTCAGAAATCCAAGGGTATTAGTCGGGTTCTTTAGAGTAACAGAACTTGCAGAATGAATCTCTATATATATAGAAAGGGGGTTTATTGGAACGACTTACAGGTTGTGGTCCAGCTAATCCAACAATGGCTGGCTATGAACAGCAAGTCCAAGAATCCAGAAGTTGCTTAGCTTGTCTTCAGTAGATGCTGGAATCCTGAAGAAATAGGCTCTAATGCCAGTGAAGGAGTGTGCTTACAAGGTTAGGGGAAGCAGAGAAAGAGCAAAAGCTTCCCTCTTCCATGTCCTTAAGCAGGCTTCCAGCAGGAAGTGTGGCCCAGATCAAAGGTTTGTCTCCCCCTACCCCAAGACCCAAATTAAAGGGCATGTATCTTCTTACCTCAAGATCTGGATTAGAAGTGGATCTTCCTACTTCAAATCAAGCAAAAAATCCCTCACTGGTGTACCCTCCATTTTTGGATTTTAGTTAATTTCAGATGTAGTCAAGTTGACAACCAAATAGCAGGTCATAGTTAGAACTCAGAGGGAGTGCCTTCTAGAAGTTCAGTCCTAGGACTCTGGGTTATGGTTCTAGTCAAGAGGCCAAGGCCAAGACTGGCCAGAGGACAACTATGGAGCCATTCGTAAACACCATAAACAGACAGTCCAGTGGCATTAAGTAGACTTATACCATTGGGTACCCTCACTACTGTCTCTCTCAATAATTGTTCTTCTTCCCAAATCGAAATTCTGTACTCACTGAACAAACTCTCCCTCTGGACTCCTCTAGGCCATGACAACTCCCATTCTCCTTTCTGCCTCCATGAGTTTATGACTAGGTAACTTACAGAAGTGGAATCTGATTTCACTTGGCCTAGCATCCACAATGAAATATGCATCCGAATTTCCTCTCTTTAAAAGCTGAATGATACTCCATTGTGAGTTAGTTTCTTTACCCGCATCTCTCAGTGGGCATTTTGGTTGCTCCTAACTCTGCCTGTTGTGAATGATGTCACTGTGAACATGGATGTGTGAAAATATGAGATTTGCTTTCGTGTAGGCTCTGTGTGTGCATATGTGTATGTGGGTGCTCACATGTGTTGTATGCTTGTGTACATGGGTGTGTAGGTCTGAGAACAACCTCGGTGTCATTTCTCAAGTCCTTTTCTACTATTTTTTTGAGATTCAATTTCCAGGCAGACTGGCCTGTGAGCTCCAGGGATCTGCTTGTCTCTGCCTATCTGGAGACTACTGGGTTTACAACCATCTACCACCATGCCAGCTTTTTACATGGATTCTGTGAGCAAGTGTTTTATCTGTTTAGCTATCTCCCCAACCTTCCAGTGGCTTCTTAAAGCCACATGTGGCTTGTGTGACTCTTTCTTGAGTTCCTGGCTATGAGAGAGAGTTGAGCTGGGAGACAGGGCTTTGGTGCTGCTCCCATTGCCACAAACCTCAAAGTCCCCGGGGCAAGTCCCACACCATCTCTGAGCCACAGTCCCTCTACCTGTGAGCCAGGGAGGTCCTTGTTCTGCTCAGTGAGCCGTTTTATAGTCTGGCCTGGAGCACTCAGCCACTGGCTTGTACTTCCTCGTAGGTGGGATTAGGAGTGAGTGGCCCTTGTGTATAGAAACCTATCACACTGAGCAGACATGAATTTGACGCTCAGACATGGAGAGGTCAGCCTTTGGGAACCATCCACGCTGCAGCCAGCACCCACCTTACCGAGAGGCTGCCCCACTAGGGCCCGTGATGGAAGGAAAAGGCAGTGTGAAAACCAGAAGCACGATGGTTCTTACGGAACAGACGGAAAAGCAGCCCGCTTGGCTGCACAGCAGCCCCGCCACAGTCTTGACGGAAACAAGCCACCTGATCTATAACATGTCAGCGCGTGTCACAGCCTTCAGCAGGTCCTGCTTATGAAAACAGAAAGCTTCGGAGGAGCTTGAGAATGTGGCTTAGAGGGTGGAAGGTTGCACAAACATTTCCAGGAAGGAGCAGAGGCAAGGGCACCAGCATGGCTGTTAGACCAAACTGATTTTCAAGTAAGGACTGGTTTGAAAATTGTAAGCCATGTTTTTCTTGGCAAAAGGCACCGTTCACAGGCACAGTCCGGCCAGCTGCCTGACTCCTGGCAGGCAGGATTCCTGCTCAGCTCCAGGAGGTGTGGAGGTGCAGAGGCACAGGCCTGGCAGAGGATATTCCCTGAAGAGGGGCGCCTCCCTTTTCTTAGTCATGACTAAGTCACATGAAGAGTCCTTCAGAGAACAGGCGGAGAAGATGGGAAAAGGAAGCCTCCGAGAGCTGAGAAAGACGTAAAGGAGGACCAGCCAGATAGCTCAGAGGACAGAACCACTTGCTGCCACACCTGCCCACCTGAGTTCAGTCCCAAGAACCCACATGGTGGAAGGAGAGAACCTTTACGTGTATGTGCACTGTGATTCACACACACACACACACACACACACACACACACACACACACACACACACTAAATGTACTTTTTTTGAAGACAGGCAGATGAGGTGCAGGCAGGCAGTGGTGGAGAGAGAGAAAGAAGATGTCAGCTGGTCCCCATGTCACAGTGCACCAAGCTGACCGTCTAGCTAATAGCCACCGCAGACTGCAAACTCCCTTCCTGTCAGTTCCGGGAAATACGACCCTGTTGGCGTGGTTCCAGGAAACAATAAATGTTTTGAAGAAAAGAGGGGCTATCAGGATAGTTAATTTTGTTCAAGATTGTGGAATGAAAACAGATGAAGAGAAAAAATGGCAAAAAAAGTGAGGATAAAAAGGAACGGCGTGAAAGCAAACACACACTATAAAATAATATTTCTCCAAACAGAGAAACGGGAGAACCTTGATGAAATGTATTTGGGGGGCAGTGCAAATGAAATACTTGTGGTAGGTAGAAACATGATGGGACAGGGGTCCTCGGAGGTCACTGCTTCAGCAGCTCCAGGTCCAGGCGCTCCAGGTTAGGGCTAGCCTTTGCCACCAGCAGTGTCCTCTGGGAAAATGAGGGGGTGAGTAAGGTGTTTGCACAGGCAGCATGCGCATTTCCAAAGTCAGACTTCTGCCCTGCAGGACAGCTCAGGTTTGCATTTTGACCACACGTGGAGAAGACCCAAGTCTAATGGTAAATTGAAAAGAGCCTGAGGGTGGTGGCACACACCTGTGGTCTTAGCCCTCAGGGCTGGAGTGGGGGGAGCGGAAGGCCAACAAAGGCAGCCTGAGCCACAGGAACGCGGTTCACACAGACAAAGAGGAAGGAGGAGGAAGAAGAGGAGGGGACACCATCGTTATTCCCCTTGTTCCTCTGGCCCGGTCGTTCAAGTCCCCGCAGACAATGTAGAGGTCTTTTGTACCGTCAGAGTTTTGCTGCAAATCAGTAAAGTAAGGCAAATAGAAAGGTTTAAAAGGAGACAGAGATGACCACAAAGATCCCCAATCTTAGTTTCTAAAGGTTCTGGGTTAGAGGAACAGACTTATCTCTGAGATGGTGAATGAAAAGTGATTCTCCCATCAGGACCAGATTCCCAGACCCCAAAGGAAGCCAGATCCGGCAGCGGGCATATATAACCCTAGCTCTTCTAGAGCAGGCTGGAAGGAGAGAGGAGAATCCCCGGAAGCTGGTGGGGCAGGCTATTCTGGCGTATGCATTGGGAACAGAATTTGTGCCTCAAACAAGATGGGGTGAGGGTCAGCACATGAAGTTGTCCTTTGACCCCACATGTGTGCTGTATATAGCACGTGAGTGCCCAGTGAGTGTCCATGTGCACACAGGGAAGGGGAAGAGAGAGAAAACGAAGGGGAGGGGTCAGGGGAGGGGAGAGGAGAAAGAGGAAGAAAGACAGTGCATGAGGAGGGGCTGATTCAACCCATTTCTGGCCATCTTCTTGCTGCTGTGTTCCCGGCCGGGACGCCTGGAAAGACCTCTGGGACAGCTCAGGGCATTCCCTTGATGGGGGTGGGGGTGGGTGGGAAGAGTAGCCAGGACTTCTGACACTCCCAGCCTGAATGGCCCTCAGGAGCAACCTGCACCCCACTCTCTCACAGCCAGAAAGCAGGTCCTTAGGGTTACCTTCCTCAAGAAGCTGCTCTGGCCTGCAGAATTCAGAATTCTAGACACAGGAACCATCTTGGCTTGACACAGACGTTCTAAGTGTGGAGAGGGCTGGGTCGTTGTCCGTACGCATTTCATGACAACTCTTCAGGGGACACTCTGGAGTCCGGACCGCATGGTTGTCATTCCTGAGTCTTTTGGAAGTTCCTGCTGTAAAAGGCATAGGACTAACCTCTTCCCTCTACCTCAGCTCCTGTGATTCAGATAATTACGGATTTAACTGTCTCTTCCCCCATGAATCACCTGGCTTCTTAGAATGTGTGTCACTGTCTAGAAAGACTAGGGTATTAGAAGGGGCAAGAGAGACGAAGCTGTGTGGACAGAGAAGTGTTTCCCCTGAGGATCTGGGCACAGGTCTGGGATCCCCATGACATTGGAGCTGATTGGAGCTGTGCATTGAGACAGGGGAATACTGTTCACACAGTCTCTCTCTGACTTTGGCATGGAAATTAAATACTGCTTTGGGGATTCCAACAGACCACAGGCCATAGCATTTCCACATCACGCTCTCTGCTCAGAGGCGAAACCATGCTAGGTGTAGAGGACCTATGGGCAGGGGTGGCTGATGTCAGAGGCAGCCCTTTCAAAGCTGGTCTGATGGCATTTGCTGTTTCTGCAGGTGACCACAGCTGCCTCGTCACTGGTGCTGTTTGACGTGATCCTGACCCGTGCAGCTGTGGGATGGTAAGTTCTCTGGAGAGAAGACACAGATTCGTTGATTTCTCCTCAAATGAAGCAGGAATGTGTGTTGGGCAGATGTCTCCATCCTAAGAAAAGTTCCGTATTAGTGAAGCCTTCCCTGTTTTGTTTAGTTGATGATTGATTGATTGATTGATTGATTGATTGATTGATTGATTGCAGTACTAGGGCTTAAACACAGTGCCTTGTGTGCTAGGTAAGCACTCTCCTCTAACCTACACCTCACATTGTAGCCCAGGTTGGCCTTGAACTTGTATTAATCCTCCTGCCTCAGTCTCTCACATGCTGGGGTGGCAGGTATGAACCAGCAAGCCCCAATTCTTTATCTTTCAACTGTTATGAGTGTGTGAATTTACATTCATAAGAGTACACTCTTACACAACTCATATGATATACAGTATTATGCACAATATTGCACACTTACAAAGCATGTTCTTACAGATTATATGACCTGATACATTTTCAACAACTGAAGATTCCATGTCTGACTAATACTCAGTTCAGCACATCACCAGAATGCCTTTTAGCCATTCATCTGCCTCAGAGTCACCACCATTGATCCCGTGGTGTCGAGGGAGAGAATGATTGGCTGCCTCAGAAGCCAATATTCTTACAGAAACCTGTTGTGGAATATTTAACTATGTAACGATGTGTTATATTTGTTGATGCTAAGAAATATTACTTTAACTGTATAAAGGTGTATTACATTTGTTTATGATGCATTTGTTTAACAATGTGTGTTTAATTATGTAAAGATATGTTGCATTTGTTTCACTGTGTCTGCCTAAGGCACCTGATTGGTCTAATATAAAGCTCACTGGCCAGTCGACAGGCAGGAGAGAGATGGGTGGGGCTGGCAGGCAGAGAGAAGACACAGGAGGAGAAGAGAACAAGGAGAAAGAGGGGGCACACCCAGGGACAGCCAGGCAGCGACAGACAGACAGACAGACAGATACAGGAAGCAGTGAAAGTAAGATATATAGAAGGAAATACGGTAAAAAGCCCCGAGGCAAACGGTAGATAAAGAGAAACAGGTTAACTTAAGTTAAAGGAGCTACCCAGAAACAAGCCTAAGCTAGGCCAAGCATTCATAACTAATAAGAAGTCTCCGTGTCATGATTTGGGAGCTGGTTGGTGACCCAAAAGAAGAAAAGCCTGGTACAACTTCCAAACCCACAGGTGTTTGTGTCGCTCACATAAATGATACAGTGTTTTCGTTTAGCCTATTCATGTCCCTTGTATAATTTTAAATCGTCTTGAGATTACTTAGCCTTACCCAAGCACAGCCTGGGTCTAGGGGGAAATGTTTGTTTTTTTTCTTGTTGGTACCTAAGTAACCCTGATGGCTGGTCCGTCGTGGGCACTTTGCTGGTTTGCCTGTTGTGTGCATTAGTGTGAGAAGTGGACCTGCTGAGTTGTTACCTGTGTGACTCTGGACACAGTGCTAGTAGGTGTGGCCAGCACTGGTGCCTGGCTTACTCCTGTGGATGACGCCACAGACCTGGGATGTGTCAGGAACTGTGCCTCAGCTCATCCCCTGCCGATGGCAAGCCCTTGTGTTAAGTCGTCCTAGGCAGACGAAAGAGCAGTTTGCACTCAGCACACAGAATAGCGTATCCTTGCCCTCTCTCGGGCGACATTTCCTACCTGGAGAGAGAATAGCAGAAAGAAGATAAAAGTGAGGAAACACTCCTCCACCTTCCTTCTCCCTTCTTTTTATTTATTTACAATTTGTTGTTTTGACACAGGGTCTCACTATGTAGCCTTGGCTGTCCTGGGACTCCTTTTGTAGACCAGGCTGGCTTCCAACTCACAGAGGTCCACCTGCCTCTGCCTCCCTAGTGCTGGGATTAAAGGCGTGAGCCACCACCTGGCCCCTCTCCTTTTAATGATAACTATTTAGGGGACTGGGAAGATGCCTCAGCATATAAATAACTTGCAAGAGGACCTGAGTTCAATCCTCAAAACCCAAGTTTAAAAAGCACAGTGCAGTGGTTACCCAAGGTTACCCCAGTATTACCCAAGGTTGTCCTCTGGCCTCTAGATGCATGTGCACAGAAGGGCATGCATATACACACATGCACTCGACATTTTGGCATTAATATCATCTCATTTCACAATCCTCCAAGCTAAGGATACCGTAAAAATGAAGAAGCTGAGGTTCTGAGGCATTTAAATGATCCCCCCCCCTTCCAGGATTTTAGAGCTATGGGAGATTGTACTAGAGTTCAAGCCCAGGCTTTCCTGTGTCTAAAGCCTTATAACCTAGGACTGACTTGGGCACTGTCAGACAGTGTACAGGGTCCGAGCCTATAAGGGTCACACAGGAAACTGGCTTACTCTCTTTCCACATAGTGATGTGTTATCTAGCCTTGTACTACTGTAACAAGCACTGGAGAAGGTCCACTTACGGGAAGAAAGCTTGGCTTTGGATCAGTTTCAGACATTTCCATTGTCTTTGGGCCCGAATGAGGCCGGATATCATGGTGGAGAGCATATGATGGAGTAAGATGCTTACTTTATGGCACAACTTATAAGCGAAGAATGAGAAAGGGCTAGGGCCCCATCTACAACAGCCCAATTTCCTCCCATTGTCCCTACTTCTTAAAGGTTCTTGTCCTTCCAAGTAGTGCCACAGACTGGTGACAATGTTTTAACACATGGGCCACTTACTCAAATGATAGCAATGATCAACTGTAAAGAGCATGGTGATGTGGAGAGTGTTTCCTGGGTGAGGCCGTGTGGTATTGTGGGGATTTATCAAGGCAACTCCACATAGTTAAAAGGAGGTTTACTTTGGGCTAACTTACAGCCAGTAAAGGGGTTGGTTACTGGATCCAGCTCAATGGTACAAATCTCCCAAAAGTCCACTGTCTAACTGACAGGAGCATCTCTTCCCGGCCCTAGGCCTGAGTCCCTGGTATTTTCTTACATCTTTGGACAAGCACCTGTGAACTTTGAGGCATGTTCACGTATGAGGTGAGGTGTAGTCCAGTGGGGTTCTCTGGAGAACTCTGCTTGGTCTGCCATCCAGCATCCAGGATCACAAGTTACCAAGAGACCCAGCACATCTGGATCTTGGGTCTTAAGGGTTCCTGTCTCTGCCCCGCCCCAGGGGCAGGTCATAGGTAAGCATGGTAGTTACCAGAAGCCTCACTAGGGGTAGTACTTCTAAGTCAAAGCTGGAACAGCTACCTACTACATCTCCCCCTTTTGTCTAAATAAGAAAGTTCTAACCTAATACAAAACTATATACAATAGAAATGATTATCAAATATTGTCCAAGAGGAATAAGGGGTAATGACCTAACACAAACAACATCAAACAAGAGACACATACTAAAAGACTGAAGTCCAGAGAAGTCTTGAGCATAGGTAAATGGCATGTTACAGAGATCATTCCAAAAGGTGCCCTGTCCTGAAGAACCTGAATCTAATACTTAATGTGTTCTAGCTAAGATACAAGAAGATTGTAACTATAACTGTTAGTCTTCAATCCCATCAAAGACCTGAGAAGGAATATAATAATACCTGAGAAACGGGAGAAGGACACAAGCAACTTTCAGGAGTCTTGCGAGAGTAGACAGAGACAGCTGGCAGTCTGGACAGTCACCTAATTTTCTTAACATTGTTGGTACATTCAAATTGGCTACAGGCCTAGAGTATATGTCAGACCATTTTACTGTCAGCAGTTGAGGCAAGGGCAGTTCTTTGCCCAGTAGGCCGTTTTGTGCCAAGGTGAAAACAAACTTCCAAATGGAAATGTCTCAGAAGTCCAACATTCTCTCGAGATCAGATTGGTGCTGCCAGGAGCAATCGTGTCTCACATCAACAGAATTCCAAGTTATCAAAACATTTAAATGCCATATTCTCTAGGTCTGTGAAGTGTTTGAAGACTACCTATCCATCTGACATATGTTTCTGTAAGTCTGAAGAACCAAACTTACATAACTATAGAGATGACAAGAATAGGTGACTATAAATCTGTAAGTCATATCTACCCAGATAACCTAAGGACTAAGGCTTCACGTAAACAGGGAAAACAGTCTGTAAGCAAATGTACAGTAAAAGGACAATGATCTCAAAATTGTGACAGTACACGAAATGTCTTAAACAGAGGTGGGAATGTATAGTACAATATGCAATATGACAATAATCCTAAATATGTGTCAATATACCAAATATCCTAAACAGAGGTAGAACATACATACAGTATGACAAATATAATTTTACATTTGTATCAATATACAAAATATTTCAAATAAGAGTAGAAATATATGTACCTTACAACAATATGGTTCTGTATTTGTATCAATATACAAATTATCTGGAATAAGGATATAAAAATAGTTTACATTTGTATCAATATACAAGAATCCATAACAGTGCAACTTATCTAAGGCTGGTATTTTACTAAGTTTACTAGTATATACAATAATCTACCTTAATATCCTGTACCTATCCATTCCCTTTTATTTTCTTAAGGGGAATACTGAGTCCAATGTTTTCTTCCACCCCCAACCCTATAACCATTATCCATAGCCCTCAGAAACATGAAACCTTTGTGAAAAGAGGGCATCGTTTTCTTAGATAACTGTACTGTAAAAGTACTATTCAGGGGGTGAGAGTACTTCTGTGGGGTCCTATAAGAAAGCTCAGATAGTTAAGTCTCAGTTGGACTAATGGTAGATTCTGCAGCCAATCTCAGAGTAATGGGTAAGGTTGTCTGAGATTCTGGCTAGAAATGTAGTATGATGAACCATCTTATAATGTAATTATCTTGGAGAGTTTTCAGTCTGAGGTTGATCATTGAGTAATGTTTGTGAGTACCATGGCATCATTCTGGACTGGGTAGAGTTGTTTTTGTGGGGCCCTATCTTCCTTATGAAGACTTCAGAGATTGCTATTGGAAAAGATTTATTTTTTTTACTGTGAAAAATGTGAACATTATTAATATCAAAATGGAAAATTTTGGATTTAAAGATGACATGACATGTAAGAAAGGATTCCAAGAAATGAAAAATAAGCATGGAAATAGAATCTTGAAGACAATGGTCCCTTTTTATTGGTTTTCTTCTGTTCCACACCAGATGGCTCTTCTGATATGAGACAGAAGAATCTCTCAACCTTTTCTTTTAGCAATATGCTTGGGTTTAGAGAAGGAGGGAGCCAATTCCAACTCCAAAGCCAGCTTGGTATATAATTGAATCAGAACCACAACTTTTCTAGAATTAAAGAGATATAGAAGGTAGGCAGTGAGACATTACCCTGTGTAGATTGGTACCAATAGGTTCTTTCTTTCTGCTGTAGACATCTGGATATCCAAGGCCTTATGATATCTGGAAGATGGGAATTTCTGTTGTTCTGTAAAGACAAAAAAGATCCCTCCCCCAACCCTTGTTGGTTAAATTTTTCTTACAACTTGTAGAGATGTCACATCGGTGGATGAGCATTTACTTCTCATCAATGTTTCTCCTGTTTGAATCAAATTTTATTAATTTTGTTGGTATCCATAGTTTTTCTTCTCCTGTGGAAACAAAAGCAAAACCCCTCCCCCAACATAGAACATACCCAGGTTTCCATTCTGAGGCCAACACATCTTTGAAATAAACTGGTTGGTTTAGCTCAGGAGTTTTGTCTGTCATTCAATGTCTCTCCACAGCTGTTGTTCCTTTCTCATCGGCATTGATAAAATTCAAGGTTAATAAAGCACTATGCAATCTATCTCTAGGAGTCATTGTTACCCCTTTCTGTTTATTTAGAATATCCTTTAAAGTTCTATTGGATCTTTCTATGACTGCTTGGCCTGTGGGATTGTGTGGTATACCTGTAATATGCTTTATATTGTAATAAGCAAAAAACTGTCTCACTTTATTGGAGACATATGCTGGGGCATTGTCTGTCTTAATTTGTACAAGTATTCCCATGATGGCCATAATTTCTAATAGGTATGTAATCACAGAATCAGCCTTTTCAGAACTCATAGGAGTTGCCCACTGAAATCCTAAATATATGTCAATGATATGGTGTACATACTTTAATCTTCCAGATTCTGCAAAATGAAATGAAACACATCTATCTGCCAAATTTCATTTCTTTGTATACCTTTTGGATTGCTCCCTAAAGGTAATGGAGTTTGGTTATAGAAGGAACAAGTAGGACATTTTTTTTTTCACAATATCCTTGACTTGTTGCCAAGTGATGGGGAAATCCTTCTTTAAACCATTGCTATTTACATGGTGTTTCTTATAAAATTCTGAGGCCTCTAGCATGTTACCTATTAGTAACTGTTCAATCTCATCATTACCTTGTGCTAGAGGTCCTGGCAGACCCATGTGGGATTTGATGTATGTTCTATTTCTGATGATTTCCTGCAATTATATGAATAATGAAGTTAATTCTGTATTATCAGGAATAAATTCAGCAGTTTCATATGTAAAACAACTCTCTCTGTGTATTGAGAGTCACTGACTATATTGAGTGGTTCTATGAAGTTCATCAGTACCATAAGAATGGCATACAGTTCTGCCTTTTGTACCGAGTTGTATGGACTTAGAACCACTTTACTTAAGTCTCCTGATTTGTATCCTGCTTTCCCTGATTTATTTGCATCAGTATAGAATGTGAGGACTCCAGAAATTGGCTTTTGTTGTACAACGTGAGAAAGGACCTATTCAGTCATCTTCATGAATTCTATTCTCTTGCTTTGGGGATAATGGTTGTTAATCTCTCCCAAAGAGTTACTGTAGGCTCTCTGTCAGTATTCATTATCTTTCCATAGTGATGAAATTTCCTCTTTAGTGAAAGGTACTACAATTTCTGCTGGGTCCATTCCTGTCAACTGGTGAAATCTTTATTTTCCTTTTTGAATCAAATCAGAGATCTTTCCTATATAAGTCTTTAACTTCTTACTTGGTTTACATGGTAGAAATATCCATTCTAATATAATATCTTCCCTCTGTATCAAAATACCTGTGGGGGAATGTCTGGAGGGGAGTATGACCAGACCACATGTGCTTCTCATATTGTCTTTTCTACTAGAGCCAATTCCTTCTCAGCTTCAGCTCTTGGTGGAAGTTTTAAGGCAATTCTGCATAGTTAAAAGAGAGGTTTATTTTGTGGGGTAACTTACAAGTAAAGTGATAGGTTACAGGGCCCAGTGGTGTTCTCTGGAGAACTCTGCTCAGTCTACCTCCAGTGTCCAGGATCCAGGAAACAAGAGAGCCAGCACATCCGGATCTCAGGTCTTGAGGGCTCCTGTCTCGGCCCTGCCTCATAGGCATGGCAGTTACCAGAAGCCTCACTAGGGGTAGTACTTCCAACTCAAAGCTGGAATAGCTACCCACTTATCTCCCCCTTTTGTCTAAATAAGAAAGTTCTAACCTAATATAAAACTATATATAATAGGAATGATTATCAAATATTGTCCAGGAGGAATAAGGGATAATGACCTAAGCAAGATGGAACTACAACCAACATGAACAATTTAAACAAGAGACACACACTAAAATCCAGAGAAGTCTGGAGCATAGGTAAATGGCATGTTACAGAGATCATTCCAAAAGGTGCCCTATCCTGAAGAAACTGAATCTAATACTTAATATGTTATAGCTAAGATAGAAGATTGTAACTGTTAAGTCTTCAATCCCATCAAAGACCTGGGAAGGAATATAATAATACCTGAGAAAAGGGAGAAGGATGCAAGCAACTTTTGGGAGTCTTGAAAGAATAGACAGAGACAGCTGGCAGCCTGGACAGTCACCTAATGTTTCCCAGCATTGTTGGTGCATTCAAATTGGCTACAGGCCTAGAGTATCTCACAGACCATTTTCAGAAGCGGGAATTCTGAAAGACCACCTTACTCTGTCTTGGCAGAGTTCAGTAGTCACTTTTCCTTGTGTCCCACTTATCCAGAAAGGAGAGCATTATATGGCACCCAATGTGGGGCAAGAGTTTCCACCTAAAACCTGAAAAAGCTTAAAAAAAAAAGATTCTAAAACAGAGCTAAAAACAGTTGTCTCTCCCAAGTTATATAGAAATGGGTTAATTTAAGATGTAAGATCTAGCTAGCAAGAAGCCTGAGCCATTAGGCCTTACAATTTTAATTAATATAAGCCTCTGTGTGTTTATTTGGGTCTGAGTGGCTGTGGGCCTGGGTGGGACTGGAGAAAACTCCAGCTACATTTGGCTGATAATTCTCTTCGACAATTTAATTCTTTGTCCACTTTTAGAGTATTAGCCAAATTTTGTAGTCCTTCTTTGAGTATTCCCATGATACCCAGTAAGTTGGAAATACTTATCTTATATCCTAAGTAATTAATAGAATCTCCTCTTTGTATTTTTTCAGGAGCAATTTGCAGTCCCCAGTGAGGCAAAACTTTTTTTACTTCTTCAAACATTCTTTCTAATATGTCTAACTTTGGATCAGCCAATAAGATATATATTATAGATATAGCGATAGATAGATAGATAGATAGATAGATAGATAGATAGATAGATAGATAGATAGATAGATAGATAATGGATTGTGGAAACTTCACATGAATTATCTCCAATGTTTTTTGCACAAAATATTGGCACAGGGTAGGGCTGTTTAACATTCCCTGTGGGAGGACCTTCCATTGCTATCTCTTGACTGGCTGGGAATTATTATAATTAGGTACTGTGAAGGCAAATTTTTCTCGACCCACTCTATCATTTTCTTGTAAGGGTATGGTAAAGAAACAGTCTTTTAAGTCAATAACTATTACAGGCCATTCTTTGGGTAGCAGAGAGGACAAGGGCATCCCAGTCTGTAGGGAGCCCATAGGCTGAATTACTTTATTAATAGCTCTCAGATCTGTCAGCATTCTCCAATTACCAGACTTTCTTTAAAATAACAAATACAGGAGAATTCCAAGGGCCGGTAGATTCTTCAATGTGTTGAGCATTTAACTGCTCTTGAACCAGCTGTTCTAAAGCTTGTAGCTTCTCTTTTGTCAAAGGCCATTGTCTAGCCCAGACAGGTCTGTTAGTTAGCCATTTTAAAGGTAAGGCAGTTGGTATTTCTGAGAGTTCAGCAGCGGTTGTGCGCTGTTTATGTACAGCCTGAATGATTGGTGACTTTTTTATAGCATGTTATGATATTATTCCTAGAAACATGCATTGATCTGTGTTCCTTTTCTGAGAGTGTAGGAATTTTAATCTGGGTATTCCACTGTTGTAGCAGATCTCAACCCCAAAGATTCACTGCTACATTTGCTACATATGGCTTCAGCCTTCCTCACTGTCCTTCTGGTTCTGTGCATTCAACTTATCTTGAACTCTGTTTTATCTGAGATAGGGTTCCAATCTCTAGAAATTGGACATCTACCTCTTGACAAGGCCAATTCCGAAGCCATGATTTTGGTGTAATTATAGTCACATCCGCACCTGTGTCTACCAGGCCCTCCAGAACAATGCCATTAATTTGAATTCTAAGCATTGGTCTTTGTTCATTTATGGAAGTCTGCCAAAATTTTCATTTTATTGTGTTCCTTGGAACTTTTGATTCTCTATCAGAGCTGTTCTATCATCCAGTGCAGTATCCTTCTTTACATTAGACATTGGTTTATTCAACTGTCCTGGAGAGGAATTTCCTCTACAGTGGCTGGAAATGTTTGGACCACGTTCAATTTGGGGGCATGCAAGAATCCCCCTGAGGCATTTCCCACCAGTAAAGGGTTGCCTTGTATATCTATTATTGATCTGCATTCATTGGTACAATGTTGGCCTTTGCCACATCTTCTACATAATTCAGAAGGTTGGGGTCTCCTGTTTGGGTTATTCCTAGAAGATGTATTACTTCTAGGAGCACCCCATGTACAGTTTTTACTTAAATGACCTGGTGTATACCACATTTAAAACATTTGGTACCCCAGGGCCTTCTTTCACCTCTGAGAATTGCCTCTTCTATCTAAGCCTCATTATTATAGTTAAGAGACTCAACACTGTTAGTATACCAAATCCATTCTTCCAAAGGCGCTGATCTGACCTGTAATGGTGTAAATATTCTTTTGCATTCTGTATTAGCATTGTTAAATGCCAATGACTCAGTTAATATTTGTCTTAATTCTTTATCTGACACAGCTTTCATTATAGCTGTGGTCAGCCTTTGTAAAAAATCAGTGAAAGGTTCTTGTGGTTCCTTAAATATCTTTGTGTATAACTCAGTTGGCTTTCCTGGTTCTGGGATTTTCCCCCCCAAGCCTTTAGAGCTGCTGTATGGCATAGGGATGTTGTATGCTTATCATAAAGTGCCTTGTACATTCCTATCAGCAAAACAGCCCTCACCAAAAATTTGATCTTGGTGGATTTCAAAACCTCTGAAGTTACCTTGTTGCTCTAAATTTCTTGCCTTTTCTCTCAAACAGCTTTTGAATGCTGGCTATATTCTAGAACAGCTGAAATTAACTGATTCTAGTCATCTGGAATGATTCGATGTGAGGTAGAACATGAATTTAACGTCTGTCTTACATATATTGAGTGTATGCCATATGTAACTATCACTTCCTTTATATTTTTTAAAATCTCTCATTGAAATCTGTTGTAATATATATTCCACATATGGCTCAGGGTGTCTATCATCTGCTGGCCTCTCATGGGTGATGACAGCATAGGCCATTGTCTGAGAGCTATCTGGAGATGTTATGACCTTTATGGTCTGACCCTTCTGCTTATTAGGTCCCTTGTTATCTTTACTGAGAGTTTCTTCCAGAGTTTGCAGATGAGCACCTAGGGTCTGTTCTAGGGAGTGAGCCTCCTCTCTTGCAAGGGACGCCAGATTTCTCATGGAATCATGCAACCTTTTGTGTTCTTCTCAAACACATGATTCCATAGACCTTATTTTATCAGTTAATGATAATCTTTCTTCCTTATAAAGTGTCTGAGTAGTGACAACTTCCCTCTGGAGAGTTATTGTTCTATCCATTAAGTATTCATGTTTATTATCAATAAAATCAAATCTGGCTATACATTTATTATTAATGGACTGAAGTTCTTGTAATAAGTTAGCAGATTCCAAACTAAGTAGCCTATTTTGTAAATTTTTATTAGTATTTGTAAATCCTGGTTAGCAGATTCCAGAGAAAGAATCTTTTTATGTAAGCCTTCATTTCTATCTTTTAAAGCCTGTGTCAGTTCCAATAATGATTCATCTTTTTATTATTGTTAAACCAATATTTGAATGCTGTGTGAATTATTATGGTAAATGCCAAAATGGTACAGGCCAGATATGCCTTAGGAAGGTCATATATTTCCAGGAAAATGCCATTCATCGTACAGGTAGAAAAGTTTTTAAATTCTTGTGAAGTAAAGTTTTTGGCCATAATATAAGAGTTACTCAAAATTTGTTAGTCAGTTTCAAGGTGTAAAAGTATCAAGTTCTCTTACCTGAAATGAAACACTGGCTTGCTTGTATTACCATCCTTGCGATGGTTTTTGGGGGTGTAGTAGCGCTTTTCAGCCAGCAGGTGTCGCTGGTGTAGCACTAAAGAAGGTCCCACTGAAGCTTTGGCTGGTGGCAGCTGCAGGTGGAAGCGGAGTATCCCGTGTGCATGTGTGGAGGAGCTGCGGGCTGCAGCAGCAAGGCAGCTGCAGCTCTTCCTGCGTCTCCCCGGAGCTTCAGGGCCTGGCTTGGCTTTCGTGACCTGCTTGGCCCTTCCACACCCTTCACTCAGCCAGGAAGCTGGCACGTGGGGTTGAGTGGCCTGAGCTCTGGGCGCAGAGAGCTCCAGGTGGCAAGGATGACGGCCGGCAGCTGCGGCTCCGAGCCCCTCTCCGGCTCTGCACCCTCAGGGAGCTGCACCCTCGGGGAGCTGGCGGTGGGGGAGGGGGCGGCATTGGCGTCTATTTTAACCAGGCAGCCTCTGAGCAGCTTCCAAGAGAGACAGTGAGATGTTGGAAGCCATGGGCTCAGGCCGGAGCGGGTGGGAGCCGGCCGCCGGGAGGGGGGCTCTCGCCCGTCTGGGGGCTAAGCTTGCCAGGGGAACTGGGGCCAGACTCAGCCGCTCCCTTGCGTGGGAATGGAACCAGCCTGGCCGCAGAGGAGCTCCCTGGCTATGTGGGACCTGGCTGGCAGGAGGAGGGAAGGGAAGGGAGAGGTGGTCATGGCCTGAACAGGTAAGCACTTGGTCCCCAGGAGGGGCAGGAATTTTAAAAGAGGGAAGTGTGGGAAGCGTGCCACAGCAGCCACAGAGGAGGCTGAGGGCGGAGGCCACCAAGGCATTTGGAGTTTGTAGGAAATGTTAGATTATTTTTAATATTTCATCTTCTTATTTATTATTTTATTTTACATCCTGATCGCAGTTTCCCCTCCCTCCTCTCTTCTTGTTCCCACCCCGCCCCACCCACCTCCCCTCTACCCACCCCATCCACTCCTCCTCCATCTCCTGTTCAGAAAGGGCAGGCCTCCCATGGGCGTCAACAAAGCATGGCCCATCAAGTTGAGGCAGAACCAAGCTCCTCCCCCTGCATCAAGGCTGGTCGAGGGAACTCAGCATGGGGAAATGGGTTCCCAAAAGCCAGTTTAAATGCCAAGGACAGGTCCTGACCCCACTGCAAGGAGCCACAGGCAGAGGGCCTAGGTCGGTCCCATTAGGGCTCCCCAGCTGCCGGTCTGGGGTCCATGAGCTCCCACTAGTCTAGGTCGGCTGTCTCTGGCTTCCCCATCATGATCTTGGCCCCCCTTGTTCATATAATCCCTCCTCCCTCTCCTCAACTGGACTCCCAGAGCTCAGCCCAGCGGTTGGCTGTGGATCTCTGCACCTGTTTCCATCAGTTACCGGATGAAGTCTCTCTGATGACAATTAGGGTAGTCACCAATCTGATTACAGGAGATGGCCAGTTCAGACACTTCACTATTAGGAGTCTTAGCTGGGTCACACTTGTGGGTTCCTTGGAGTTTCCCTGGTACCAGGTTTCTCTCTGACCCTGAAATGCACCCCCATCAAGGCGTCTTCCATTACTGTCCCCTCTGTCCTGCCCCAAGGAGTGTTAGATTTTAAATACTATAGCTATGATTCTGTTGGTTATAATATTTGCTGAGTGTCGTCAGGTGTGATGGCGCACATCTTTAATCCCAGCACTTGGGAGGCATCGAGAAAGAGCTATCAATCTGTCAGTCCTGTCCGTATCCAGGCCGGGTCTCTGTGAGTTTGAGGCCAGCCTGGTCTACAGAGTGCGTTCCAGGACAGCCAGAATTACATAGTGAGACTCTGTCTCAAAAAAAAAAAAAAAGGTTTTACTGAGTGCTGTATGCAGCACATGGGGAAGCTATCAAAGAAGCGTGAGCTAGTATCTAATTCTCAATGAATATTCAAGGGGAGACAAAGCCAGAAAGGTATTTGATGGGATGGACAGGATGGTAGTTATTGGATGTGTTGTGATGTGAAGACTAAAGTGACAGAGGACGGGCGTGCTCAGACGCAGAAGTGAGCCTTCAGCTGACTTGACCTTGACTTGACCTTGAGCTGGCCCTGATGCTAGTGGGAAGGGCTTAGCTAGGCAGTGGGCGAGGAGACAGGACTAGAGAGCTGATGATGAAATACCAGGATTGAGAATGGCTCCAGGCCACACAGCTGACCTCACGCTTGCTCACATGCCTCAGAACTGTCAAAGGAGGAAGACAGGCCTTTGTGTGTGTGCTATGGAAGTGTGTGTGTAGTATGTATTGATGGGTATGTTTTGTATGCATGTGTGTCCACACCCATGTGTGTGTGTAGTATGTATTGATGGGTGTGTTTTGTATGTATGTGTGTCCACACCCATGTGTGTGTGTAGTATGTAT